TCCACTCACCTCAGCCTCCCAAAGCGCGGGATTACAGGCTGAGCCACCGAGCCCGGCGTCTTTTTAAAATATTAAAATTGGAGCTGGGTTTGGTGGCTCAAGCCTGTAATCCAAGCACTTTAGGAGGCAGAGAGATGTGAGGATTTTCCTGAGCTCAGGGGTTTGAGACCAGGCTGAGCAACATGGCGAGACCTCATCTCTACAATAAATCAAAAAATTAGCCAGTTGTGGTGGCACACACCTGTGGTTCCAGCTGCTTGGAAGGATCACCTGAGCCCAGTAGGTTGAGGCTGTGGTGGTCATGAGTGTGCCACTGCACTCTAGCCTGGGTGACAGAGTGAGACTCTGACTCAAAAAAAAAAAAAAATTTACAATTGGAAATTCTAATATGTCAGAAACGTTGTTTCTTTTGTGTCATTGTCTGTGCTATAAAACACAGTGGAATGAAAATGTACTTCAAAGCACTCATTGTCTTCCCCTAGGAATGATGCCAAAACTGTCAATGTTATCACAACTGCATGTTTCTCTAAGGTCACCAAGGTGAGTGCTGTGGGGCTATGAAAAAGTTTTGTCTGTGGGTGGTCTGCTTCTGTGGATGGAAGGTGAGGAGATGGGTATGTGAGGAAGAAGTTGTGTACAGACAAGCTCTTTATGTTTAGTGATGCTTTCTTTCTTCCTAGACTGCCTCACTGGGTCATCAGTCTTTTAGAGGAGTCAAACAGAATTATGAGTTTCTAAAGTGCTATGTAGTAAACAGTAGTGTGTTTTCTTCTGTGATTCTTGACTTTTCTTCTTTTTTTTTTTTTGAGTCGAGGTCTTACTTCATCACCTAGGCTGGAGCATAGTATGACAATCACTGGCTCACTGCAGCCTTGACCTCCTGTGCTTAGGCAATTTTTCCTTCTCAGCCTCCTGAGTAGCTGGGACTACAGGCTTGCGACACCACATCCAGCTAATTTTTAATTTTTTTGTAGCATTTAGATCTCACTACATTGCCTAGGCTGTTCTTGAATACCTGCGCTCAAGTGGTCCTCCTGCCTCAGCCTCCCAAAGTGCTGGAATTACAGACGTGAGCCACCCTGCCTGGCTTGACTTTTCTTCTGTTGAGCTTAGGCACAACTAAAAGAAATTTAAGGATGGTGTTTGACTTTCTTTTAGAAGGAATGTAATGTCACTTTTTGTGAAGGATGTAGAAATGATTATGTGTCCTTGAAGAATTACTATGGAGCGCCTAGCAGTATTTATCTAGTAACGATTTTTTAGAATTAACTATTTATGGGAGAAATAACATAAACTTGTATTTTTTTTTTGAGTTGGAGTCTCACTCCGTTGCCCAGGCTAGAGTACAGTGGCATGCTCACGGTCACCCCAGTGTCGACCTGCTGAGCTCCGGGGATCCTTCTGCTTCAGACTTCCAAGTAGCCAGAACTACAGGTGCCCGTTGCCAAGCCCGGCTAATTTTTGATTTATTGTAGAGATGAGGTCTCACTAGGTTGCCCGGGTTGGTCTTGAACTCACAGGCTCAGGCAGCCTACTTGCCTCAGTCTCCCAAAGTTCTAGGATTACAGGCTGAGCCACCAAGCCTGGCCTCATAAACATTTCTAAATTATGAATAATTAGCAAAAATTCCCCCACTCTTTAAATTTTTTTCTTCAGATACTAGCTCATGCACGTATAAGGTAATCAAAAATACTTGTTCTTTCTTTTAAGCTGAGTTAAGTAACTGGCTATTTTCTGATTGGTTTTTAGATACTAGTTGCCGCTTTGACATTCTTCCTTGGGAAAGATGAAGATGAGAAACAGGACAGTGACTCAGAATCTGAGGTTAGTTTCATCATTGTTACTTCAGAAGCTTACATTTCATTATTGCTCTGAGTTACAAATTGTAAAGTCATGACAGCCTGAGTTAGAAAAAAACTTGTATGTTACCTTTGCCCTTTATTGAGTTCTGCCATGCTGAGATTTTATTCTACTCGGAATTCTTCACTTGTATTCAGTAAGATTGGCTAAATAATTAATAAAACAGTTTCATTTAACTTTGTTCTTTGTTCTAAAGCTGTACCTCTATCTCATTATGTACATTTAGAATGAAAATTGTCACCAACATATTTTTGAGGTAATGTCATCAACATCATGGAAGTTTAGAGTGGGGGAAGGATAGGGAGTAATATCTTTAAATGGAAAAATCAGCTGGGCACGTGGTTCACACCCAGCACTTTGAGAGGCTGAGGCAAGAAGATTGCCTGAGTCCAGGAGTTCGGGGACTTCCTGGGCAACATAGTGAGACCTCAACTCTACAAAAAAAAAAAAAAATCAAAAAATTAGCCAATCATGGTGGCACACATGCTTATAGCTCTAGCTGCTCAGGAGGCTGAGGTGGGAGGATCACCTGAGCCCAGTAGTTGGAGGCTGTGGGTGAGACCCCAACTCAAGGAGCAGAAAAAGAAAAAAAAGATTTATGATGGCATGAAATTTTCTTAGAAATATTTAAAAGAAGAAATTCTTTTAGGAAAAAAAAGACTCCTCCTTCCCCATTTTAGTATATTGGTAACTAGAATACTGGAATAAGTGATAACACCTTTTAAACATTATATGACCAATACATATTATAAGTGTCAACCTAAATAACAAAGAGAGAGAGAGACTCTTTTAAAAAAAGCCAGGCACAGTGGCTCAAGCCTGTAATCCCAGCACTTTGGGAGGCCAAGGCAGGAGGATTTGCCCAAGTCCACAGGTTTGAGATCAAGCCTGGGCAACTTCGCGAGACCTCGTCTCTACAGTAAATCAAAAAATTAGCTGGGCGTGGTGGCACATGCCTGTACTTGAAAGGCTGAGGCAGAAGGATTGCCTGAGCCCAGCAAGTCGAGACTGCAGGTCGTGAGCAGCGTGCCACTGCACTCCAGCCTGGGCAACAAAGTGAGATTCTGTCTCAAAAAAAAATTTTTTTATTTGAGAATAGGGCATTGCAATGGGAATGCGTGTGCCATAGTAAACTGTGTGCGTATTCAGGGAGATAGAGACAAAGGTTTTTTTGTTTGTTTGTTTTTGATTTAGAGTCTCACTCTGTTGCCTAGGCTGGAGTGCTGTGGCACAATCGTGGGTCACCGCAGCCTCGAAATACTGGGCTCATGTGTACCACCATGCCTGGCTATGGTGGTAGAGATGAGGTCTTGCTGTGTTGCTCAGGCTTGTCTCCAACTCTTGGAGTCAAGCAGTCCTCCCACCTCGGCCTCCTAATGGGCTGTAAGCCATGATGCCCAGCCCCAGGAAAACAAAGATTTTGAAAGCAAAAATGAGGATTACATAATTGTTCTGAGATAATTATCCTTGCCTAATCCCAGGCTCAGTAACAAAGATAGTATCAAATTGGACAGGGAGTTATATTGGGCAGAATTATATTTTGTGTAAAGTTGCAGTGGCTTTTGTTGAAGGTTTTGGTTTTTACAGACTCCCCTGTGGTAGTTTTGTTTCCAGGCATTCATACATGAGATCCTCCCTTCGTGACTTTCTTTGCTCTATTTGTCAGGGTGTTTTCAACACGGTGACTTCATTTTGATTTTGACAACTTTCATTAAAAATTTCAGATTTTACAGATAAAATAAGTCTTAGTGACCCTGTCTTATTGCTACATCCCATTTCCTTGCAGGTAACCATTTCATTTCCCATGCATTTATATATGGATATATATAAATAGTCTTAATGTGTGTAGTAGGTTTTAAAAAACTTTATAGATAACATATATATTATTCTTAAGCTTATTTTCTCTCAATATATATAGATCGACCAGTGCATTTTAATCTTGGTTAAAATATATAGACCTACCTATTCTTTTAGCCTCCACATACTTCAGAATATGAATGCATTATGGTTTATTTATTATAGTTATTTGTAGTTTATTTGATACATACTTGTGTTGTTTCTTTTTTCTAAATAAAAATAGTTGCATTTTGTTTATAAAAAGAAAAATATTTTTTAAAAATAAATACTGCAGTGTAAATCTTTGTGTGTGCCTTTAGTGCACACGTGTGCGTATTTTTGTGCTTGATTTTAAAAGTCATATTCATTTTTAATAGCTGTATGCAGAATATAAGAACCAAGAAGCAGATGAAAGGATTATTCTTTACTTTTGTACAGGCTTTCCTTGTTTGTAATTTTACAAAGAATTTCTTCTTCAGGATGAAGGACCAACAGCAAGAGACCTGTTAGTGCAGTATGCTACAGGAAAGAAAAGCTCCAAAAACAAGAAAAAATTGGAAAAGGCAATGAAAGTGCTCAAGGTGAGACTGAGACCTGGGAAATGAGATCAGTTGTTAGAATGCAGAGTATATAGTTTTTTGACATAGCTTTTGAGAATTTAAGATTGAGAAATAGCATTTTCAAAAGACATAAAAATAGATGATGAGTTTTTTTGTTGTTTTTTTTACATTGGAGTCTCACTCTGTCACCCAGGCTGGAATGCAGTGGCACGCTCATGGCCACTGCAGCCTCAGCCTGCTGGGTTCAGGTGATCCTTCTGCCTCAGCCTTCCAAGTAGCTGGAACTACAGGCATGTGCCACCATGGCCAGCTAATTTTTTGATTTATTGTAGAGATGGGGTCTCACCAAGTTGCCCAGACTGGTCTCGAGCCCATGGCCTCAGGCAGTCCTCTCACCTAATCCTCACAAAGTACTGAGATAATAGGTGTGAGCCACCGTACCCACCCTTTTTTTCTTTTTGAGTCAGTCTCACTCTGTTGTACAGACTGGAGTGGAATGGCAGACACACTCACAGCCACCACAGCCTTGACCTGCTGGGTTCAGGTGATCCTTCTGCCTCAGCCTTCCAAGTAGCTGGAACTGCACCTGGCTAATGTTTTTATTTTTTGTAGAGACTAGATCTCGCCAAGTTGCCCAGACTGATCTCAAGCCCCTGGGCTCAGGCAGCCGTCTTACCTCTGCTTCCCAAAGTCTGGGATTACAGACCCGAGCCACCACACCCAGCCAAAAACGGGTGATTAATTTTTAATCACTTAGGTTTTAGATAAATAAATGTATTCAGCTCTAGCAAAATCTGTGACTTGCATAAATAATTTGATTCACTTCACACTTTTCACTTGTTCACTTTTCACATAGTGGCTTGTGTGACTCATATTAGGGTATCTTTGCTAGATGTGTCTTCCCAGAAGAGTGCCTAAATAAAGTACTTTGATATTTTTGTAACAATTGTTCTGAAAATTATTAATTTGACCCTTGTGTGTCTATTAATGTATGTTCCAAATTCCTGTCTCACAGGTGCTGATGGAGGGAACATTCCCAGGGTTTAATCTTAAAAGGCAAATACCAACTTTAGTTTTTCCAGTTGAAAGAAAGATTTTTCAGAAAAAAGATTCTTTTTTATTTTTAAATAGTCTATCAGACTTTGTCATAGCCTGTATTAGTACATTAGCACATGGAGGGTAACCTCACTGTAATTCAGATTGGAAATGTTTTTCCCACCCTTTCTTTCAGAAACAAAAGAAGAAGAAGAAACCAGAGGTGTTTAACTTTTCAGCTATTCACCTGATTCATGATCCCCAAGGTAAATGTAACTGTTTCTTTCAGAGTTCCTTGTTGGCCTTATCTCTGCCTATTTTGCTTCCTGCCTGTTAGGAAATAAGAAAGCCCTGGTAATTAGTAAGCAACTGGTAAATGCTTAGTTTTTGCTAGTTAGTTATAACCTAGAGAATTGTGTTCCAAAGCAATGATTCCCAGTCTATAGCAAAATAAGAAAAATATGTTAAAACCAGGACTTTCTGAGATTCGTGTCTTTAACAACACAGTAATCATAGATCATCATATGTCACCAAATGAAATATTGGCGGTCTTTCGTTGGTCCTTTTTTTTTTTTTAAACTAGTCTGTAGAAACAAAAGTCTGAGAAACCTTGTTCTAGAACACTAGTTCTCAAACTAGATTGCACATTGGAATCATTTGGGGAAATATTTTTTTTTTAAGCAGGGTTTATTGAGAGGCTATAAAGGCTCCCATGGTGGGAAGGAAGCCAAAGGGGTTGCCCTCACTTGGGGAATTTATAAAATTATACTGATGCTTGGGTCTTGTTATTCTCAGAGATTCTGTTTTAGTTGGTATGGGGTGTAACTGTGCACTGGGATTTTTAAAGTGCTCTCTGTATGCTAATGTCAGCAACATTTACTGACCCCTGCTCCAGATCAATGTTTCTCAAACTTTAATGTGCATACAAATGACCTGGGGAATTTGTAAAGTGTAGATTCTGATTTGATAGGCCTGGGGATGATGAAGGGGCTAAAAGTCTGTTTTTATAACAAGCACCCAGGTGGACTAACTGCTGCTAGTCTGTGAACCACCCTTGGAGAACCTGCCAGTCACTCTAGATGTTGATGCTAAAAATCTTGGGAATCTTGAAGACTTAACTTTGGGTGCCATTAAAGATAACGTTCACCTGAGTATGAATCTTTTCGCTGATCTGACTACTGCCTTCTCTGTGCCTGTTACAAAAATGTACAGATAATGAACCCACAGTGCACTTCTCTGTTCTTCTCCTTTCCAGATTTTGCAGAAAAACTATTAAAGCAACTAGAGAGCTCTAAGGAGCGATTTGAAGTGAAGATGATGCTCATGAACCTCATCTCCAGATTGGTGGGAATTCATGAGGTTTGGATTGTATTATGTTTCTCTTGGTGAATATTAGAAGGAGAATTGATCTGAGTGAAAGGAAAGCCACTAGGTAGAACACTGACTGAATTCTATCTTCCAAATATTTACTCAGTTCAAGGAAGAATTTTTAAAAACTCTGAAAATAACTGTTTATGTCACTTTGTTTCCTTTGCTGTAAGTATCGATGTTAATTTGTACATAATTCAGTTCATGGACAAAGTATTTTGTGTGCTGCTTTTTTGCTTTCTTTTCATTCACTTGTTTCACATATGCAAGAGCTCCTTGGAGGTATATATGTGAGAACTTCACATATACTCTTATACTAGATGCCAGTAGAGATACAGAGATACCCAAACTGTAGGCCTTAAAGAAATGACCACTGAGGTTTTCCCTTGTCATTGTCATCTATGACTGGTGCTGCTTGGAACACATCAGTGATTTTGCTATGTCTGTGCATTACTTTCGTTCAGTCCCAAGTTTGAGCTCAATGGGAAAGCAGAAGTCATTTGAGATTTAAGCATGGTTTGATGGAGATGATGTGTTGTTTCACAACTGACTAAAATTGACCATCTGACATTATATTCAAGCAAAGTCTTCCCTGCAGCTTCTCAATCGCCCTTCCTACTTTTGCTCTATGGTTAAAATAGGAAAAATTAATTTATTCCCACGTGACGAACCTTGAGAAAAACAATCCCTTTCCAGAGAGTTTCTTCTTGAAATTAGACATTATTTCCTTAATAACTGGACCCTGGTCACCTAGGTAGACTCCAGGATGTTAGTGTTTTTCTTTAAAACACTAACAGAATTACTTATAGCACCAAGTAATTCCTTCTGTGTGGTTGGACTGGCCTTTGTTTTTTGGTGATTATGTTATACTAGGTGCTATTCAGGTTTGAATTACTATTTTGCCCCTTGTTTTAGAGCCTTGATATTAGTGTTGTTCCTTCCTATAATCCCCCCCTCTCTTAAAACACTAGAAAATTAGTTCTGCAGCCACATCAGTTTTAAAAGTGGAAGACTATGACATTTAGTTTGGCTTTCCTTCCCCTAGTTCTTTCTACATGCACTTGCTTCCTCCTTTACGAAATGAGGATAGGCACATTGCCTCACTGGAGAGCGTGCCTTTCCTTGGTTAATATAGCATATTGAATTATCCTGGGGCATGACTGCTTACTGAGAGAAAGCAAAATGCATCCCCATGAGTTGAGCTTGGTGATATGATTGTGTTGTGGAGAAACAAAACTCCACAGTGTCAGCTGCAACAGTACTAAAGTCGGTGCTCTCTCCACAGCTTTTCCTCTTCAACTTCTACCCCTTTGTGCAAAGGTTTCTGCAGCCCCACCAGAGAGGTAAGCCACCCACTTGCCATGTTACTCTGGTGGCCTTGGTGATAAAAAAAAAAAAAACAACAAGTTGTCTTCTCAAAGCAAGTTTTGTTACTGCTCTATTGATTCCACATGCATTCTTAATGAAAAACAGCATAAAAGCAGGAAAGAAGAGATGGTTGTTTTTATCTTTGACCTTTAAGAAGGAAACTAACCTTTATTGAGCATCTAGTATGGCCCAAGCACTGTGCTAAGTGCTTTACATAGATCCTCTCATCTACTCCTCACATCAGCAAAAGAGTGAGAGAGACTTTCTGATAAGGTAGCAATTGAGCAGAGACCTACAGAAAGCGAGGGGGTGAGCCATGCAGAGATATCTGGAGGTTGGGGGTTCCAGGTGGAATCAGCAGCAGTAGTGTTAAGGCTGGCATTTGCTTGTCATGTTTGCTGTAGTCCTAAGAGGCAAGGTGATAAACTGACTACAACCTTTCTGATCTCTTATTATTTTTAGAAGTCACAAAGATCCTTCTGTTTGCTGCACAAGCAGCTCATCAACTAGTACCACCAGAGGTGAGAACTCTTAGCTTGACTTCTGGGTCGATAGTAAGGATAGTACTGTTACTGTTGGGTACATCAGGGTCACTTTTTCACAGGACTTACTGTTGTCGTTCCCCCCCCCCCACCCCCATCTCCAGCTTTGTTTTGAGTCAGAGTCTCACTTTCGCCCAGGCTGGAGTGCAGTGGCACGCTTATGGCCACCGCAGTCTCGACCTGCTGGACTCAGGCGATCCTTCCGCCTCAGCCTTCCAAGTAGCTGGAACCAAAGGCCCAGGCTGATCTTGAACCACAGGGCTCAGGCAATCCTATCACCTCCACCTCCCAAAGTGCAGGGATTATAGGCATGAGCTACACACCTGGCTGTTTTTGTTTTTGTTTTTGTTTTTTTTAAGTAAGAAGAAATATTAACTCTTAAGGAGATCTACACAGGAGTTCACTTGTACAGATCATAGAAAGTGAAATTCCTTTTGGACAAGTTTGGGAATTTTTTGTTTAATAACCAAATTTTATGACTAATGTTATGACTAATATGTCAAGCATATCAGTAACTGTATAGAGATTATTTTTCAAAGCTCGAAATTCCTTTGTTTGATTAAAACAGCATTTGATTCTCCTGTGCCAAAGTAGTTTGTTTTTTATATTGAAAAATGATGTTAAAGGAGAGTAAAATTTAGTCCAAAGATAATCAGGCAGAACACTGAACCCCTAAGTGGAGTATTTTTATTTCTGTCTGTCTTGATCTCGATTCCTTCCAACTCCCAAACTGAAGGTGGAAGGTTGTTTTTCTACGGTGAATAATCTCTTGTACTTGCATCTTCAACTGTTTGAGTAGGTTCAGACATTTTACCAGTACTCATCTCTTTTTTTGTTCCCAATTTAGATCATTCAGTCATTGCTCATGACTGTGGCCAACAATTTTGTTACTGACAAGAACTCTGGGGAAGTCATGACAGTAGGGTATGTAGCACCTGGTTGGAGGTAGAAGATATGTCTTTAGTCAACTGTTTGCTCAAAGTTATCAAGATGTAAGGTTTCAGTTGACAGTGTTTCCTTTAGAAAATCAGTTTAAAATATACTTCAGTCTTTTGGGGAGAATTAGTGGTTTTTTATTGGTCAGAATTTTGAGGAGGGAGCCAGAGAAAAGATACTTGTCCTTCTAAGCAGCATTTTGTTGGTTTTCTACTAGTTTTACTCTTTCAAATGAATGACCATTTGGCAATCTAAGTGTTTTTCTCTTATCTCCCACCCTGAACTGATGTCTTACTCTGTCTCTCAGTCCATTTTGTGCTATTGTAATAGAATAGTACAGATGGGACAATTTATGAAGAAAAGAAATGTATTTGGTTTGTGGTTCTGGAGATTGGGAAGTCCAAGGGCATGGTGCTGGCATCTGCTTATCATCTGGTGAGGGCATCCTTACTGTGCCATTGGCAGAAGGCAGAAGGAAAGGACCAAGAGTGCAAGAGTAACAAGAGGGCTGAGCTCACTTTTACAGTAACCCTCTCATGATAACAAACCTATTCCTAAGATACTAACATCAAGCCTAATCACCTCTTAATAGTCCCACTTCTTTTTTTTTTTTTTTTTTTGAGTTGGAGTCTCACTCTGTCTCCCCGCCACCGCAGCCTCAACCGGCTGGGCTCTGGTGATCCTTCCACCTCAGCCTTCCAAGTAGCTGAAACTACAGGCACATGCTACCATGCCTGGCTAGTTTTTGATTTATTGTAGAGATGAGGTTTCGCCAAGTTCCCCAGCCTCCCAAAGCATGGGATTACAGGCTGAGCCACCGAGCCCAGCTAGTCCCACTTCTTAATACCATTGCAATGGCAATTAAATTTCAACAGAAGTTTTGGAGGGGACATTCAAGCCATAGCATTCTGGAACAAATGATTTATTATTGACTCACTCTTATTGTAGGGCAGTTCGGTGACCCTTTTGATTAATTAAAAAATTAGTGACTGTAAGCACTGGTTTAAGGATTGTCTGACTTGTCCTGATAAATAAGTGACATGCTGAACAGTTGCTTTTTATCTCCCTTGGAAAGTATTGCTAGGATAACAGCCCTACAGACCTTTAACCTTTCTTACTGACCTAGTCCCTTCTCCCATTAGAGTTGGTGAGCAAGTGCTGCCATGATGTAGTGTGCTAGACACTGTTCCTTAATCACGTGTAGAAGAAATGGCAGTATCTCCAAGGCCACGTACCTCTCATTCTTTGTCAGGCTGTGGTTTTAAAGCCCTGAGCCATTTAAGATGTAATTTGTATTCCTTTTTATTTAATTTTTTAAAGAAACTTCATTAGATTGAACCACATAAAACTACTCTTTTGGCTTTTTGAAATCCATTTTCCCTTTTCTAGAATCAATGCTATAAAAGAGATAACAGCTCGATGTCCTCTAGCTATGACTGAAGAACTTCTTCAAGACCTGGCTCAGTATAAAACACATAAAGATAAGAGTAAGTTGCGTATCACTCTCTGTAGACTAAAGAGTGCGGTGTGACTCATTTTTAACCTCATTCTACTCTTTGCTCCAGAATTTCTAATTAAAGATATTATTTTATAGATGTAATGATGTCTGCTAGAACTTTGATTCAACTCTTTCGAACACTGAATCCTCAGATGCTGCAGAAGAAATTCCGAGTAGGTGAAGCATGCATGTGTTGGCCTAAAGGTTATGGTCTCAGAAAGCAATAGTAATTTCCTGCAACCCAAATTTCAATATTTGTGATGCTTTCCATTATGACTAGTAATGATGAGCGCAGTTACATTCTTAAAGCTTGGAATACACTTGACTAAATGCCTTGACTCTAAATATTTTGTAGTTGGCATATATTCGTTGGTGATAACTGAGTCTTAAGGACCCATCAGGCCATTTCAACTTGAAGGCTATTGACATCATTAACAAATTGGAATTGCAACAGTCAGTAGGTAATGCCAGTATTGAACAGGAGGAATACATGCATGTAACAGAAAGAGAGATGGTATTTTCAAGACTTAAAACAGTGGAACAGTTATTTTTTAATAACTGCCAGTTTTTTGATCTGGATCAGAAGACAGTGAAAAAATAGTGGATAAATTGCTGGCTGGGGAATTGGCTTTAATCACTAGACTGTTGTTGTCATTTGATTACCTCCATTTTTTGTGGTGTCCCTTCTGAATTCATAATCCTGGAGAAACCTTCCATGATCAGTGTTTTATGATCTAAGTACCTTCTTATGAACAATTTCTCCTCCTTTAGGGTAAGCCTACGGAGGCCTCCGTAGAAGCAAGAATACAGGAATATGGAGAATTAGATGCTAAAGATTACATTCCAGGAGCAGAAGTTTTGGAAGTGGAGAAAGAAGAGAATGCTGAAAATGATGAAGGTTCGTTTTTATTTCATCCTTATTCCAGGCACAATCACTCCTGCAATATATCTGTGTTGACCTTTAGATCTTTATGCTTTGTGGACACTTGTTCAGCAGATAACCTGCTGAGCAGTAGCTGTGTGCCAGGCACTATGATAAGCACTGACAGTCAGTCGAGCATGACTCCTGCTCCCAGGGAGCTTATGGTCTAGGCTAAGAGTTGCCCTTTCATGTCCTCCAGGGCAGCTGCCCCATCCAAAGGCATGCTGTTTGGTACTTGAGAAAGATGATGATTTTGTGCTTATTGCCTAGAGAAAATTACAAGGGTTCATCTTTGCAGTAATCCTCCAAGCCCTCCTTGTTAAACTTGTTGAATACTTGAGCTCCTTGCTGACTTCCAGATTCTCTCTTCTTGTCATTCCCTCATTCATTGCTTTAGCAAAGTTTTCCTAAGCACTATCCATGACCTGGTCACTATGGATGCAAAGATGAGTGATACTGTTCCTGCTCTTTAGAGCCTTTCATAAAGAGCTGAGCAATGAAGTGACAACACAATTTATAACTGGAGGAGGGATATAAGGACAGGAGAATAGCCAGTTTTGCTCAGAAGTTTGTTTTTTTTTTTAAAAAAGGCTCTGGGCTGGGCGCAGTGGCTCACACCTGTAATCCCAGCACTTTGGGAGCTGGAGGCAAGAGGATTGCTGAGCCCATGGGTTCAAGACCAGCCTGGGCAACTTGGCAAGACCTCGTCTCTACAATAAACAAAAAAACCAGCCAGGCATAGTGGCGTGTGCCTGTAGTTCCACCTACTTGGAAGGCTGAGGTGGAAGGATTGCATGAGCCCCGCAGGTCAGGGCTGCAGTGGCTGTGAGCATGCCACTGCATTCCAACCTGGGTGACAGAGTGAGACTCCAACTTCAAACTAAAGGGAGGAGGGGGTTCTGGAAAGATGTGACTGATGAGCCAGGAGTTTTTGGCAAGAAATACTAGATTAGTGAAGATTTTGCAGGCAAAGTATGACAGAGTCCTGAAGGATTTAGACATGAGACATAGCAAGATAGGAGACTAGAAGCAGAGTCGGAGCCCGTATCATGAGTGGTTGTATGTGTTCCAGACCAAGGAGCCAGACATCATCTCATGGATCATAGGAGCCATGGAAAGATTGCAAGTGTCTGTGCTTTAGTAAGCTGTGCTTTCACAACCAGAATCTTCTTCCTCAGTTCTCTAAATAACTGTAACTAATTTCTCATACATGTATAAATATGCTGGAATGAGTTTGTCAGATACTTTCTGTGTGGCCAAGATAAATGTGCAAGTATGGTTGTGACAAACACAGCTGGTTTGGTGGAAAGAGCATGAGCTCTAGAGTCAGCCATGATTTTCGTGATTTCACATATGCTGCATTTTCTAGCGGTGTGGCTTGGTGTCATTACTTAACTCTGAGAGTCTGTTCCTCATCTGTGGTGTCATGAGGGTTAGAATGCTTATAAGATTTTGGTTCATGGTAGATACTTGCTCGGTGCTTATTTCCTGTACCTTTAATTAGCCGAGTTGATGTGACTTATTTAACAATAGTGCTCAGTTTTTGGTCGGTAGGATATCTATTTGAGATTTGTTATCTTACTTTTCCACTTGATTTCTGCTTGATTTTTCTCAACTCGCAGTGAGTGCTCAACGAATATAGCAGTAATAATTGTGTGCTTTTTTTCACACAGATGGATGGGAAACTACTAGTATCAGTGAGGAAGATGCTGGTGGTGAATGGATTGATGTGCACCATTCTTCTGACGAAGAGCAGCAAGAAATTGTAAGTCTTAAAAATTCCAGCCAGGTGTAGTTGCTCATGCCTGTCATCCCAACACTTTGGGAAGTGAGGGCCAGGAGAATTACTTGAGCCCAGAAGTTTGAGACCAGCCTGGACAGCACAGCAAAACCTTGTGTCTACAAAAAAGTTTTTAAAACGTTAGGTGGGCGTGGTGCATGCCTGTACTCTCAGCTACTCAGGAGGCCAACATAAGAGGATAGCTTGAGCTCAGGAGTCAGAGGCTACAGTGAGTCAAGATCTTGCCACTGCATTCCATCCTGGGCAGTAGAGTGAAACTGACTCAAAAGAAAAGTTCCTCTTACAAGCGAGTTGCTGTGATGTTTAGTAAGACATATTTTATGCTGGGCCTTGTTGGAGACTTATATCTGGAAGTCTGAGATCTCTTGAGCTAATAGTCATTTAAGCCTTTGCTTGTGTGATTTCAAGTCCAAGAAGCTGAACAACATGCCTGTGGCGGAGCGGCAAGCCAAAGCTGCAGCCGTCAGCACTAGTCGAGTTTTAACTCAGGAAGACTTCCAGAAAATCCGCATAGCCCAGATGAAGAAAGAACTTGATGCTGCCCCTGGGAAATCCCAAAAGAGGAAATATGTTGAAATCGACAGCGATGAGGAACCCAGGTAAAATGGCACATCCGCCAGCTCTCAGTCAGTTCACATGGCAGTGAGAGCAGAAGAGAAGGAATCTACTTGTGTTTCTTTTTTCTTTTTTTCCTTCACCCCAGGGGCGAATTGCTTTCTCTTCGGGATATTGAGCACCTTCATAAAAAGCCAAAGTCTGACAAGGAGACAAGACTAGCAACTGCAATGGTGAGTAAGGCATGCTATTCCTAGTTCTTTAAACAGTAAACAAATAAAATGAAATGTAGACTGGGCACAGTGGCTCACATCTGTAATCCCAGCACTTTAGGAGGCCGAGGAGGGAGGATTGCCTGAGGCCAGGAGTTTGAGGTCAGCCTGGGCAACTTAGTGAGACCCTATCACCTCAAAAAATTTCTAAATTAGCCAGGCATGGTGTCACGTGCCTGTAGTCCCAGCTACTTGGGAGGCTGAGGTTGGAAAATCACTTGAGCCCAGAAGTTTGAGGTTGCAGTGAGCCAGGATACTACCACTGCACTCCAGCCTGGGTGACAGAGTCAGATTGTCTCAAAATAGATTATTGTATATCTCCCAGGACTTGTATAGCCACAGAATGGCTGTTGTTTTAATGTTTTAAAGAAAGGTGTAAATAACATGGAATAAAATGCACAGATATTAGGTGTTCAGTTAGATGAGTTTTGACAACTGTACAGAGCCACGTAGCTACTACCCAAAACAAGATACAGAGCACAAAAGGCAATGTTACACACCACCCCATATCCCCCCTCACCCTCTGCTTCTGTTTGTGCTGAAGCCTGTTTAGGTAAGTTCAGGAACCCCTGTCCTTTCTCCTCCACCCCTTTGCCTGCACAGTCCCTTCTTCCTGAAATGCTCTGTCCTCTGCTCCTTTTCCTCACTGTGATTCCTGCATCCTGCAGAACAACCACCTATCTCACTTTCTGGACAAGCTCCTCTGACCTCAGCAAGCTGAGTATGACCTGACTTCCCCAGAGCACCCCTCGCTTCATTAGAAACTCCATCCCCATTCCTTGGGCCTCCAAGTAGAGCTCCTCACATAGAGGAGACGTTTATGTTGATGGGATGGCTCTGGAAGTGTGTTGTTTAAGATGAAATATCAAACTTTTTGTGCTGACAGGCTGGGAAGACAGACCGAAAAGAATTTGTGAGGAAGAAAACCAAAATAAATCCGTTTTCCAGTTCCACAAATAAAGAGAAGAAAAAACAGAAGAACTTTATGATGATGCGGTATAGCCAGAACGTCCGGTCCAAAAATAAGCGTTCCTTCCGGGAAAAGCAGGTGAGCTCCACTCAAGCCCAGTGGCAGAAGCACTGTGAGAATGCTTTATGTGGGAGACAGAGGCGCTTTCTCCAGCCCTTGTGTCACTGTGTGTGTCTTGGAGTGAGTAGAGCACTATTAGGGGGCACAGAGGGGTGGGACGTCATCAGAGCATGTGAATCCCAGACCTGGCTTAGCTGAGACTCAGTGTGGGCCCAGAGGGGAGCACATTTTCACCTCTGTAAGTAAAGAGGTACAGTCTAGATCATCTCTGAGTTCCCTTCCGTGCTACAGTTCTCTAGCATTTCATCTGTGAAATATGATATCAAAATTAATTGAATAATTTCTTAGTGCCTAATTTATGCCTGATACTTCTTAAAAAGCAGTAATTTTGTGTGGTCCTATCTCAGAAGCAGTTTCAGGAATGCAGTGCAAAAGGAACAGTTCTTTTGTTAGCATGATCCTTCCTATACATGCCCTTTTGCAACAGTTTTATGCTTACAGGCCTTTGAGATTTCACTTCATCCATTTATGGCCTTTGAACAGCAATCCTGTGCTCTTTGAGTGGCTTGCTTATTTCAGTAATTCACCATAGTGAAGCAGATTGATGCTTCTGTATCTTTCTCGCCTGGAAGTGTACCAGAGTGTATCTAAATGTCGTTCTGAAGAATCTCTAGGAAGTTAGCCCTGAACTAAATAGTCCCACATTCTGAGCCAGTGTTCCTAAATAGCTAGCCAAGCATGAGCCTGCCATGGTAATCCCCATTCTGCAGCAACTTAACACATTTTCAGAAAGTTTAGGAAATATGTAATGAATGAATGTAATGACCAGCCCTCCAGGCATTGCAGTGTCTGTGTGGGTTCCAAGTCAGTTTAGTTAACTAAATTAAAGTACCATTTAAACTCTCCTACTACTTTCTAATTTAATCTTTATTGTTCTAAACTGTGTTCAGCAACATCACGTAAATAATAATTTTGGCTGGGCACTGTGGCTCACGCCTATAATCCTAGCACTTTGGGAGGCAGAGGTAAGAGGATTGTTTGAACCCATGAGTTCCAGACCAGCCTGGGCAACTTGGCAAGACCTCATCTCCACAATAAATAAAAAAAATTAGCTGGATGTCGGGGCGCACGCCTGTATTTCCAGCTACTTGCAAGGCTGAGGCAGAAGGAGCACCTGAGCCGAGCAGGTCAAGGCTGCAGTGGCCGTGAGCGTGCCACTGCACTCCAGCCTGCGCATCAGAGTGAAACTTCAACTTAAATAATAATAATAATAATATTGACCAGGCACAGGAACTCAATACCTGTAATCCCAGCACTTTGGTTAACCAAGGCAGGAGGACCACTTGATTCTAGTTCAAAAGGAGCCTGGGCAACATAGTGAGACCCCACCTCTCCTCAAAAAAATTAAAATTAAAATATTCTTATTTCCCAATGAGGGGGGGCATTTAGCTGGGCATGGTGGTATGTGCCATTTGCGATTTTAAGTACTCTAAATTTTGCCACATTCTCCTAAACTTAGAGTTGAGTTGACTTACATCCATTAGCCATCCCTTCACTGGCCCTTAGTACCATTACAGTGTCAAGGAAGTAGCACTCACCCGGTCGGTCAGCCTGGCTTACTGCAGTTGCTGGAAGGGCATTCCCCACTCCACTTTTCTGTATTTTAGCATGCCTTTTTTGGCATGATGGAGAAGCTTTGCTGTGTTCCTTGTCAAGAGCTCTGAGTCACAAAACATCTCTCAAAGATTACAGTTTGGCCGGGCGCAGTGTCTCAAGCCTGTAATCCCAGTACTTTGGGAGTCTGAGGCAAGAGGGTTGCCTGAGTCCAGGGGTTCGAGACCAGCCTGGGCAATTTGGTGAGATGTCATCTCTACAATAAATCAAAAAATTAGCCGGGCATGGTAGCACGTGCCTGTAGTTCCAATTACTTGGAAGGCTGGGCAGGATTGCCTGAACCCAGCGGATTGACGCTGGGGTAGCTGTGAGCATGCCACTGCACTCCAGCCTGGGCGACAGAGTGAGATTCTGACTCAAAAAAAAAAAAGATTGCAGTTTTTAAAAGAAAATTAACAGTTAACTGGGCATATGCACTTGTTGGTTCAAAAATGCTTTTTCTTGTTTTCCAGTTTTATTGCCATTTGGAGCCTTAGATCTATCCATTATAAAACGTAACCTTAGGATCCTGACTTTTTCTATCTCCCTCACTTTAGATTAGCACTGTTGACTAGAAATGTGATATGAACCACATATATAATTTTAAAACAAAAAAGTAAAAATAAAGAGATGAAGGTAATTTTAATAATATATTTAATTCATTTTGTCCAAAATAGTATCATTTCAGCATGTAATCAATATAAAAATTAAATTGCATGAAACATTTTACATTCTTGCTTTTGAGCTCATTGAAATCCAGCATATTGCCAGGCGTGGTGGCTCACACCTGAAATCCCAGCACTTTGGGAGGTGGAGGCAAAAGGATTGTCTGAGTCCAGGGATCAAGACCAGACTAGGCAACCTGGTAAGACCTCGTCTCTACAATAAATAAAAAAATTAGCTGGGTGTGGTGGCGCTCACTTGTAGTTCCAGCTACTTGGAAGACTGAGGTGGAAGGATCACCTAAGCCCAGCAGGTCTCCTTATTTTTACTTTTTTGTTTTAAAAGTATATATGTGGCTCATATTACATTTCTATTCAATAGTGCTAATCTAAAGTGAAGGAGATAGAAAAAGTCAGGATCCTAGGGTTGGTGGCCTTGAATGTGCCACTGCACCCCAGCCTGGGCAACAGAATGAGACTTCGGCTCAAAAACATAAAATAAAAGCTTTGAGTAGTTAGCTATAAAGCCAGGTAACTTCTACTCCAAAAATTTTTTTTAGCAAAGCAAAAAAATTTTAATACATGTTAAAATTCAAAAACTAGGAATTTTAACCCATCTCCCACTTAGAAAAACAAAGTACAGCTCACTGCCACGTTCATTTAGTTTTATTTACATAGACATGCTCTTTGAAGCTGAAGCAAATCTGACTGGTTTTCAATGTGAAAATAAAATATAAAAGCTGTTCTAGTTATTTTTAAATAGAACTTATCTCTAATCCTAACAACAATTACTAAAACAAAAAGTGCTATGTTTTATAAATGGAAATACCACTACTAAAAACAGAATACTGTAAATAGAATGATGTTAATCTGTTTCCAAAGATGATCAGTATACTAGTAAGTAGAGCGATGGGAAAATAACAAAAGCAAGATATATTGTGGCAAACTTTGAGGGTAAGGTCAGGACTATAATCCTCAAGTTATCTCAAGGTAAACACTGCGCCTCCACCGGGCTCAGTGGCTCAGCCTGTAATCCCAGCGCTTTGGAAGGCTGAGGTGAGTGGATTGCCTGAGCCTGCGGGTTCGAGACCCACCTGGACAAGTTGGCAAGACCTCATCTCTACAATAAATCAAAAATTAACCGGGCGTGGTAGCACGCACCTGTAGTTCCAGCTACTTGGAAGGCTGAGGCGGAAGGATCGCCGGAACCCAGCAGGTCGAGGCTGCGGTGGCACTGCGCTCCAGTGTGCGTGACAGAGTGACTCCAACTCAAAAAAAAAAAAAAAACACTGCAGCTCCAAGCACTGCTGGCAAGTAGTCTCAGGGCTAACAGGATAATGGTTAAGTTTCTAGAACAAAGAGTAGTGCTTGGGAATGATGGAATACTATTCATCACACACTTATGATGTGTTTATTGGCCTTGGTGACCTTATTTTTAAATTTAATTTGGGTTTATTCTTGATTACTTTTAATGTAATATTCTGTTCATTTTCTTTTGGGAAATGTAAAACTTAATAAGGGCTTCCATAGATTCACTTCAAACATTGATCCTTCAGTCTTCTTTTTCTCAAGATCTTAAATTCTTCACCTTCAGATTCTACTTCTACCCTGGATTCTCCTAGAACCCGGCCCCGTTGGTTAGAGAAGAACCTAGGTTGAGTCTACTAGAATATACAGTTCACTGCTTCAGTTCTTCATTTTCACCTTTCATACTTTCAACACAAAATAATTAAACTAGTTAAAAGTTGGAGCTCATCTTAACTGGAATAAGTATTTTGCTTTAAGCTACAGTTGTCTGGTTTTTAATTTCTGAGTAAATGTGTCCATGGTTAAGCCATTAAAAAGGATGTGGTAGCATTTATGTATTATGAAATTTTCTTGGTTCATTCACTGCATTAAAGAAACCCATTTGAAAATCACGTAAGGGAACTTTTTTCTGTGTTTCAGGTTATATATTTATAGACTGGTTGTAAATCTGCACAAATACTGCCATTTAAGAATATTTCCGTGGTCTCTCTGTGCCGTACTTAGTGGAGTATATGTGATTTAGGAGTATGTGTTTTCTTGTTGGCTTTAATTGAGGTGATTTATTGCATCCACAACTCCGAAATATTAAGAACTGTGTACCACAGAAGCCCTGTGTGTCTCCTCTGGGGGTAGGCAATGCTCCAGTCTCTGGGTCTCTGTATTCTGTAGCTGCTTCTACTTTGAACTTTTGTCTCCAGGAGTTGGGAACAGCTTTGCCTATTTTTTAACAGTCTAGAGGCCCCATCCTGAATACAGATTTGGTCTATTAGGGAGCATTTTACCATTTGTAGTTTTTCAGGATGGCTTATTGACTTAGTGATTCCTTTCTAGTGAACTTTCATATAACCAGATAATGGGTGCCCAAGAATTACGTTTAAATACTTTTTTCTTATCTTACAGCTGGCACTACGAGATGCACTTTTGAAAAAGAGAAAGAGAATGAAGTAACTTCCAAGCCAGTTTTCCTTCCAAGGAGAATGCTAAGTTTGCGTCCTTACTGTGAAAATTAGTAAATCGAACATGTTCGTTTACATTAAAAAGTCCAGAAGAACTATATTGTGAAAAACACAGTAAACGTGGCAACAATTTGTGTTTATTTTGGAGATGGGTAATAGTGGAAATGTTAATGTAAATAGTTGTGGTGTTGTAAAATATTTTCATTTAGCATTCATGCAAAAGAAAATTACTGCGTGCCTGTCTTCCACTTGTCACTGGATATGAAATGAATGAGCCATATAACCCCTTCACTCAGGACATTCACAGCTCAGTGAGGGCAGGTGTAGATATGCGTGTTTACAGTACGATGTAAGTAGTTCTCCAATAGAAGTAAGTTCATATTTCTGTGGAATCACCGAAGCCTTAAGGCTCCTGTCCCCATGATAGGAGTTATATATTCTCTTAAAATAAAACAGGACAACGTTACAAGAGTAAGAGGTTCTTACTTGTAAATAGGCTTACCTGCTGAAAACAGGTCCCAGCTGTACAGATTTTGGAAAGGCAATTTAGTTCTTTCAGTCAATCCTGAAGATATAAATATTTTTAATGCCCTATACAGGCCTTTTGGTCAAGACCTAATTCTTTCAATTGCCTTAAGTATAAATATACCTTTGCGGTGTATTCAGTTCATCATTGGAGCTGCCCACTCATCACATTGGTTTCCTCTGCCTTCCTTCATGCTGTCATAGTTTCAGCCCACTGTTTGCCTTGTCTCAATACAACGTTTCTAGCATCAAATAGATCCTCTTATGTGTGTGGAGTGCTCTGTATTCTCCCTCCCCTGGGCATACTTGTGTCCATTTTAGCGGACAGTCTCTTGGCATGCAGGGTGTTGGTTTGGAAATAGTTTGGTGCTGTTTTCCACAGATTTCTTTGATAATATTGCAGTACATCAGAAAATGATTCCGTGTTACTTCAAATTAGAGCATAGGGCATTTGTCTGCCTACTAAGAATTAGTAAGCAGTTCCTAAAATCACGTTTCTTGTTCCCTTTCCAGTGTCTTCTGTTCACTTTCTGAGTTTAACTTCCATCTTGTGTGAATAAAACTTTGTGACTTTCCGTAAGATGCCCCAGATCACTGTTAGGGGATCAGTCAAGCTGTCAAAGTCAACCCCCAGCAACTTTAGTGCTTCTCAGGAATTGTCTGGTGCAAATTAGTATGTTTCAGACCTGAAACTGCTCCTTTTTCTTTTTGCATTTTTGAGCTGGCTATCTGCTCATGTATCTAGATCCAGAAAGTAAATAAAATCAAAAGAGCATAGCAGCTAGGTCTACAGCTTTGCTGTGTACATTGTGAGGGTTCCCAGAAGTTTCATCATGCCCCCAGATTTCCCCACCCTCCTAGACACCAAGAGTCCAGAGTCCCTTCTGTGTTCTGACTCCTGTTCTACTGTGGCCTCCCCACTCCCAACTAGCCTGAGGTGTATATGCAAGACAGAAAGACCCAATGCCTGTTTTAAAAGGGCAGGTTCTTAACTTTATTTTTTTAAGCCCATAGTATCTTAGTTCTGTCTGGTTCCTTTTATTATTTTATAAATCTCCTCTTGAGAATATTGTCTGTTGACTACCAATTTGAAGACTAGAGTCTCATAAGAGTGAATACCACCGGCAAAGGCTAAGTGAGCTTCCAGGGTGATTTGAGTCATGACGTCATCAGTGCCTAAACTTGAGCTATTTAGTCTCAAATTTTGTCAACACTGAGAGCGGACCCATTCAGGGATGAACTCACTTTGTCCAAGCCCATAATATATAAAGCGGTACATGAATCCAGAGTGCTGATGTATTATCTTTGTGTTCTTAGCAAATTCATCAGTACTTCCTGCAAGGCAGAGATTTGTGTGTTCTCTGCCATCTCCCCAGTGCTCTCTCAGTGTCTCCTATGTAGGTGCCCAGCAAATATTCAGATCCATGATTTAATCTCTGACTGTCCATTTTCTGTCTGTAAATTATCATACCACCTACCCCAGTGATTTTTTTTTGTTGAGAAGTTTGAGAAGTCGTGTTTATAAGCATTTAGCGTGTTGTCTGCCACAAAGTAAACTTTCAGTAAATATGTCATCCATGACTAGTTGTATATGATGTTATTTTTTGCTTAATGTACTAAAACAACAGTTACAGTTGCTACAAATATTTATGTTGCCCCTCAAATCCATTTTTGGAGGAACTAATTTGAAATATAAAAATGTATATTGAATGTCCACTGTGTGCAGAGCACTCTCCTAGATGCTGTGTGAGTTGTGTATGTGTTTATGCCCTTTGCAAACTTTCAACCTCACAGAAGTAATCAAATTACAAATGGCTATAATTCAGAGCAGTTTACAGAGCTATCAAGAAGGCACAGTCACAAAAAAGTGAGGTGATGGATGTGTTAACTATCTTGATTCGGTAATTTCGAAATCTGTACATGTGTCAAAATATCACATTGTATACTATAAATAGATGCAATTTTTATAAAAAGAAACCACCACAACATAGGACTGGAAGCACCCCAAGGAAAGGACCGCCTGGCCAGCCAGAGGGTGAAGTGCCTGTTTGCTAACAGGCTTGATGCTTCTGATGAACAGGGCCACAGCAGGAAATACATTCCTGAGTCATAAAGGAAAATGGCTGGTTTAAAGACTAGTATAATTTTGATGTGATTTTTTAAAGATTTTGGTTAAAATACATTTTGTTATTTCCTCATAGTGTAATTGTTTGAGAATGTATAGTCTTTGGAAGGTATTGTATCGCAGCCCCACTTAACTAGAATGTTACTGAGAGTATTCTGTTCTTTGTGCTGTTTTAGATAACACATTTTTAAACTGTATGTAGATGATTATCTACCAAGTGACATTCTTTCATTTACCACTTGCATACTTGTGGAATGTACTTAATGAAATTAAAAATGACCTTGAATATGGACAAAAAGATAGTGCAATGACTTCAGCCTTTTACACAGTCAAGATCCAGAAACAACCTTTCCTCTCCTAGTGTACAGTCTCGTCTGCCCTTGTTTACAAATGCAAACAAAAGCAGAAAGCACAGCTATTTCTGTGCTACTTAAATAGCAGAAGCTTGTATGTATGCAGAGCACTCTTTATGTAGTCATCATAATTCCTTCTGTAGATTCTGCCCTCGTGTTTGGTCAGTGTATTCTCAATATGGAAATAGTTGCATAAACTACAATTTATCCACGTGATTGAATATTATGCAGCCATTAAAATATGTACAATGGGAAATGCTTATTGCAAATGAAGACAAAATATCAAAGCATTTTAGTATTATCCAATTATATACATAAGAAAATGGGAGACTGGGCACAGTGACTCATACCTGTTCAACCCAGCACTTTGGGAGGTACAAGTGAAAGGATTGCCTAAGGCCGGGGGTTCAAGACCAGCCTGGCAACATGGCTAGACCTTGTCTCTACAATAAAATCCAAAAATTAGCTGAGCATGTTGGCGCACACCCGTAGTTCCAGCTACTCTAAGGCTGGGGCGGAAGGATCACCTGAGCCCAGCGGGTCCAGGCTGCAGTGGTCTTGAGCATGCCACTGCACTTCAGCCTGGGCGACAGTGAGAAAAACAACGGGAACAATAAAAGCCCAAGAGGAAATACACCAGATAATAAAATATTGTCTTTGGTGCTGGGATCATGTGTAGGGTTTTCTTATAAAAAACAAAATAACTGTAAGAGAAGAAAGGTACGTTGTGACCCACTCTTGTAAAGCTGCTTTATAGTTAGAAAGGGGGATGCACCTAAAACCCAAGCCAGGATTGATTTGAAAGTACCAGAGGGTTGTCTTGCCTTCTAAATTATTCTCTTCCTCCATTTATTGACGGGGTGCTGGGGTTATCCTTGGCTTGAAACTCTTAACTCTTGGCAGCAAGACCTGATGTTAGCAAAAGAGCTGTGAGAACGGGTTTTGTAGTCCTAACCTCTTACTCAAACCCACTTCTGAGAGTTTAGTCAAAGAAAATCATCCAAAATACGGCAAGAGCTGTGTTTGTGGCTGAGTTTTACTGCAAATTTATGTTCATCCACGAATATCCTAATTATAGGGGGAGTCTGTCTCCCCTGAGTCGGGCCAGTTGATGACCTGGGTTCATCTGTGCAGTGGTGCCATCAGGATCTTGGGCTGCTTTCTTCTTTGGCATTCTTAGCATGTTGAAGCACTGGGTTGGAGTGCTGACTCTGACATGGCTGTAAGACCATTTGCAAGTTACTCAACATGTCTGAGCCTCAGTCTCATCTGTAATATGGAGATAGTGGTTGATACCTTCCCTTCATATACAGCTCTGCTGTGTTTAAGGTGGCAAGCAGGGGGAAAGTGACATTGCCACATTTATCCCTTTTACTAGGAAAGCAAAAGTTTTCACAGAACCCTGCCAGCAGCCTTCCCGTAGATTCATTAGCCAGAACTGGGTTATACAGCACCCTAGCATAAGGGAAACCAGAAAACAGGAAATGGGATTGTCGCTGTCTCAGCATAGGTGCACAGTAACTGTCCAGCAGAACCAGGCTTTTAGCAAGGAAGAGGGGGTTATGGATTTGGATAGACAATTAGCAATGTCTACTACAAGTGATCTGTAGGGAAATATTTACTGCAGTATAATTTATTTATTTATTTATTTATTTATTTTTTGAGTTGGAGTCTCACTCTGTCACCCAGACTGGAGTGCACCAGCCGCTCTCGGTCACTGCAGCCTCGACCTGCTGGGCTCCGGCAATCCTTCCGCCTCAGCCTTCCAAGTAGCTGGAACTACAGGCGCGCACTACCACGCCCCGCTAATTTTTTTATTTATTGTAGAGATGAGGTCTCGCCAAGTTGCCCAGATGGGTCTCAAACCCGCGGGCTCAGGCAATCCACTCACCTCAGCCTCCCAAAGTGCTGGGATTACAGGCTGAGCCACCGAGCCCGGCTTGCAGTATAATTTATAATCGCAATAACTGGTACAAGAAAATGTAAAACATGGGGATACTTAAGCAAGTTGGGATATAATTAGTAGATAGAATATTCAACCATCAATCACTGATTAAAGATAGGTATAAACACTATAGTAGTTGTGCAGTTAAAATGTTATGCAGTGATTTTCAAAAGCAGAGTAAAAAATGATAAAAAGTGGTTTTAAGATACAAACGTTTCACATTTATAATCTTGGAAAAATTTTTGCAGCCAGGCTGGATGTGGTGGCTCACACCTATGATCCCAGCACTTTGGGAGGCTAAGGCAAGAGGATTGCTTCAGGCCAGGAGTTCAAGATGAGCCTGGGCAACAAAGTGAGCACCCATCTCTACAAAAAATATTTTTTAAAAATATAGCCAGGCATGGTGGTATGCACCTGTAGTCCCAGCTACATAGGAGGCAGAGACAGGAGGATGGCTTGAACCTAGGAGGTCGAGGCTGTAGTGAGCCATGATCATGCCTTTAATCTCAGTGACAGAGTGAAACCCTGTCTCAAAAAAACCCAAAAATTTTTGTGGCCAAACAACAGCCTTGATGTAGTTGTTGCCTGCACAGTCACAAACTTGTTCTGAAATTTTGAGTTGATGTCTGCTAAGATTAAACAAGGACTAACATCAAAACTTGCAGAATGGAAGTTAGTGGTTTGTAAGAAAATTCCAGAAAAAAATAATAGTGAAACATTTTTTAAAAAACTTTTTATACATAGAGAAAAGTACATAAGCTCAGTGCATTCTCACAAGGCAAATACAGTCCTGTAACCGACGACATAGAAACCGCTTTATGAGTGGAGAACTCTTTTTTTTTTTTGAGTTGGAGTCTCGCTTTTTTGCCCAGGCTGGAGTGCAGTGGCATGCATGCTCACGGCCACCCCTGCATCGACCTTCTGGTCTCTAGCGATCCTTCCACCTCAACCTTCCATATAGCTAGAACTACAGATGTGTGCTACCACGCCTGGCTATTTTTTATTTTATTGTAGAGATGAGGTCTCATCAGGTTGCTCGGGCTGGTCTCGAACTCACAGGCTCAGGCAATCCACTCACCTCAGCCTCCCAAAGTACTGGGATTACAGGCTGAACCACCAAGCCTGGCTGAGTGGAGAACTCTTAAGGGCAGCATCACCAAGGCTCTCACTGGCACAGAGAGTGGTATGGTGTGGAGAAACATGGGCATCTATGATACCAGGTCAACCGCGATACAGAATAGTAACTGAATGCAAATAAGCTTAAGAAATGCCGTAACTGATTTAACTTTTTAAAAATACATATACGCCAGGCTCGGTGGCTCAGCCTGTAATCCCACGCCTTGGGAGGTGGAGGTGAGTGAATTGCCTGAGCCGGCGGGTTCAAGACCTGCCTGAGCAACTTGGCAAGACCTCATCTCTACGATAAAGCAAAAAATTAGCCGGGTGTGGTAGCGTGTGCCTATAGTTCCAGCTACTTGAAAGACTGAGGCAGAAGGAACACCGGAGCCCAGCAGGTCGAGGCTGCGGTGGCCGGGAGCGGCCACTGCACTCCAGTCTGGGCAACAGAGTTAGACTCCAACTCAAAAAAAAAAAAAAAAAGATGAAATTAAAAAAATAAAAATACATATACAAAGATGTTAAAATATCTTTGACAAAAGAAGAGAGTCCTTTCAATATGCCTTTTTTGTTGTTGTTGTTGTTGTTTTTTTGAGTTGGAATCTCACTCTGTCGCCCAGACTGGAGTGCAGTGGCTGCTTCCGGCCACCGCAGCCTCGACCTGCTGGGCTCAGGCGATCCTTCTGTCTCAGCCTTCCCAGTAACTGGAACCCCAGGCGTATGCCACCACACTTGGCTAATTTTTTATTTATTGTTGAGACAGGGTTCACCAAATTGCCCAGGCTAGTCTCGAACCCCTGGACTCAGGCAATCCTCTCCCAAAGTGCTGGGATTACAGGGTGTGAGCCACCACCCCTGGCCTCAATACGTCTTTTAATATTCTAGTAAGAAAACATTGTATCACAGTTTAAATGGCAATGAGTTTTTCTTCCAGGTTCATGAAATAATGGAGCTTCTTATAACTACAATTTTATAAATAAAAGATACATGTGAAAATAGTTGGGCAACCCCCTCGGATCCCCTCCCACTATGGGAGCTCTTCTGCCCTCTCAGTAAATCCTGCTTTCTTAAAAAAAAAAAATTGCTGGGTTTGGGTGGTGCATACAACTGACTGAATTTTCTTTTTCTCTACATTTTAAACATGCTGTATGTTGCTTAAAAAGCATACTGGCTCAGCATGGTGGATCACACCTGTAATCCCAGCAATTTGGGATGCCAAAGTGGGAGGATAACTTAAACGCAGGATTTCAAAACCAACCTGTGCAACATAGTGAGACCTTGTCTCTACAAAAAATAGAAAAACTAGCTGGGTGTAGTGGCACAAGCGTGTAGCCACAGCTACTCGGGAGGATGAAGAGGGAGGATTGCTTGAGCCCAGGATTTGAGGCTGCTGTGAGTCATGATCGTGCCACTGTACTTCAGCCAGTATAAAATGTATACTAAACTGATTTATTTCTTTCTTTCCTTTTTTTTTTTGAGTTGGAGTCTCACTCTGTTGCTGGAGTGCAGTGGCACTTATGGATACCACAGCCTCAACCTCCTGGGCTCATGTGATTCTTCCGCCTCAGCCTTCCATATAGCTGGAACTACAGGCACATGAAACCACGCCCAGCTATTTTTTTTTTTCTTTTTTTAATTGTAGAGACGAGGTCTCACCGAGTTGCCCAGGTTGGTCTTGAACCCCTGGACTCAGGCAATCCTCTCACCTCAGCCTCCCAAAGTGCTGGGATTATAAGCTTGAGCCACTGCACCCTGCCAAACTTTTTTTTTAATCTAAAACATTTTTAATTCCATTTTAGCAAGATCAATTTCGGCATACCTACTATTCCTAGTATCTAAATTAACATCAGAGGTACTTTTTAAAAGGATATTTGACCGAGAAGG